TCCAGGATTTTCTCATTGTTGAATTCCCCTCCTCCTTTTTTTTTTCTAAACTGCTCCTTCCTTGATTTTTTTCAGAATGTGAAAGGTATGTTGACTTCTCAGATATCTGAAAATATCTTTGTTTACCACTTAGAGCTGAATGATATTTTGACTTAAGGGAGAAAGATGTGGCCATCTGCTTCTGCAAAGATTACAACCTTGGGAACCCTATGTGGCAGTTCTACCCTGTCCTATAGGGTAGAACTTTGCTGGGGGTAGGTTTGTATTTTGTGTGGGGCTTGGTAGGGTATTCTGAGCCTCAGAACTCTGAAGGCTGTCTAATGGTACTGAGTATTGTTCGTAGAATAAGTGTTGTTGATAGAAGACTGATGCCAGTCAGATTTTTGTCCTATCTTAGGTGGGTTTTTGTTTTTTCACTGGGAAACTTTTAGGATTTTCTTCTGTGTAAAATGCCAAAGCAATTGTAACTGCTGCTTGTGGAGGAGGACTATTTCTAAGGAAATCTTTTGATTCTTTCAGGAACAAATAACAGTGGCTCAGTACCATAGTTACATGATTGTAACACCAAATTATAATTAAGACACTGCTATAAAAACTGAGTTCGTGTATTGCACTGTAGGATGAGCACTGGGCTGCCAAGCACAAAGTCAGTGGTTCAAACCCACCAGTCACTCCTTGGAAACCCTATATAGGGATGTTATGAGTTGGAACCTCAATGGCACTTAACAACAACAACAACAAAAAAAAACCACTGCAATACTTTGCTCTGTACACATGATTCTAAAATTCAAGAATGAAACTAAGAATTTTAGTAAAAGTCAGACTGTCTTGTCCATGTCAATTGTTGTTGTCAGGTGACATTGAAGCAATTCTGCAGCATCCTTACCATTGTTGTTATTCTTGAGGCCATTGTTGTAGCCACTGTGACAATCCATCTCATTGAGGATTTTTCTCTTTTTCTCTGACCTTCTACTTTACCAAGCATGTTGTCCTTTTCCCATGTCCGTGCTGCTGCATGCTGTAGAGTCAGTTCCAATTCATAGTGATCCTATATAGCATTTCTGAGGCTGTAAAACTTTACAGAAACAGAAAGCCTCATCTTTCTCCCACTGAGCAGTTGGTGTATTCAAACTGCTGACCTCACAGGTCACAGCATGACACGCAACCCACCACACTACCAGGACTCCTTATTCCTATGCCTATCTGTTGCTGTTGTTCAGCGCTGTTGAGTCAATTCCGACTCATAGCAACTCTGTATAGGGTTTCTGAGGAGCGGCTGGTGAATTTGAGCAGGCGACCTTGCAGTCCAGGGCATTCTCCTACATCCCCACACCAGGACACCCCCTGTAGCCACAGTAGGTAGAAATGGACTCTGTTGACCCTAGATCATATTCCGTGAGTGGACCCTAACTGTTTCTCACATTCAGGATTGCTCAGCTTTGGGAAGTTTCCCCAGAGCTCTGCTGTCTTTTACTTCAGAGGCTGTATTGGGTAGAGGATGGACATTCGAACCTATATGCTGTTGTTTGATAGCTTTTTGACCATGGGCAAGTTACTTCACTTCTCTAAACCTCAGTTTCCTCATTTACAAAATTAGAGTATCTGTTAAAAGTAAGAAATAAATCACACTAAGCAAATATTACAAGGCCTGGGATTTACATAATTATTTCTAAATAATTTCTGTTATTATCAGTGTCAGTGTAGGATTCACAGGTATACTCAGGCATTGTTGTTGTTAAGTGCCAGCAAGTCAGTTCCAACCCATAGCAAGCATGTTTCCGAAGAGCAGCTGGTGAGCTTGAACCGCCAACCTTATGGTTCAAAATTTAGCAAATAAAAATACAGACTATTTAACTAGATTTGAACTTCAAAGTACACACACATACAAACAGTTGTCATGGATTATACATCAACTCATGGCTACTCCAGATGTGTCAAAATAGAACTGTGCTTCATGGAATTTTTAATCACTGATATTTCTCCAGACCTTTCTTCAAAGAAGAGGTGCCTCTATCTGGACTTGAAGGAGCTTTGGTAGCTTAGTGATTACGAATTGGGCTGCTAACCTCAAGGTTGGCAGTTTGAAACTACCAGCTATTCCACGGGAGAAAGATGAAGCTTTCTGCCCCCATAAAGATTTGCAGCCTTGGAAACGTTGTGCAGGGTCACTATGAGTCAGAACCGACTCCACGGTACTTAACAACAACAACAACATCTGGACTTGAACTTCCAGTCTTTTGGATTCCACCAGGGCATATTAACCATTGTACTACCCAGGGACTTCGATTTTTTAAGTGTACAAACCCAATATTATATGAGAGATACTTAGAATAAGAAAATCATCTTTTGTCTATCTGAAATTCAAATAATATAAGTGGGCCTATTGTATCTGGCAACCCTATCTACAGGTAGCTAAACCATGTCTCCTTTGTTAAAATGGAAGCTTTAGGAACAGAAAAATAAACCTGCCGGGAATAATACTGTCATTAAACTCAGTCTTTCTTCTCCTTATACATGGTAGGTCAATATCACTCAATAAATACACTCAGTATTGTTTTCTTCCAGGAAATGCTCAGAGGTCACATATTAGAGAAGCAAATAGTCTATATATAT